AATCTTCTACTTAAAATAGCATCTAGTATTTTAAATCGTATACTATCCTATTTTCTCACTGAGTGAATAAAGAAACAAATTTGTTGTATATATTTAGATGGATCATTATTTACTCAAAAATACAAACATCAAATATCACATCTTAATATAATGATTAATGATGATAATACAGCTTTACGAGTAAAAAATGTTGCTACCAATATTTTCACAAATATTCTTATGATGTTTACAAATTACAACATATTATTCATCAAGTATTATTTATTTGAATGTTAGAGTGCGTAATTTTAATGATTGTCTTTGTTTACTTGATGGATGTCTTAATCAATTGCATACATTTATTGTCAAAATTGATAATATTGATGATTTATCAATGACTATTCAGAAAAAGGTAGATGATTTTGATTTATAAAAGAATGATAAAAAAAAATGATATAAATCCAAAGTTTCTCCTGTAAACATCAGAAGACTATTTTTTAGTCATAATATGACTTATTCTATATTGATTAAAATTTTTTTTTGTAGAGAACTCTATCTAATCTACGATGTTTTTCGTTAATTTCAACTGATCAAACAGATAAGTATGATATTGGAATTGTACCATTTCTTCATCAAATGTCACAATTGGAAAAACTTACATTATCTCTTATTGTTCTAAATCGAATTTCATTCATTGATGGTACAAATTATACAATTATTACGAACTTCTGATGATATTCAACGTACGTTTATTAAAAGAGGATATAGTGTTAATTATTATATTGTTCGTTATTCACAAGAAATAAATCAATGTCATGTTTATTCACTTCCGTTCTTTATTGAATATATGTGTAATGTTGCGAACAATTTTGTTGGCGGTTTATTTATGAGTATTCGTCAATTGTAATTATACGATTTCTTTGTTCCATTCGAACACGATTTCTTTGCTCGAATTTCTCGAGCTTTTCCATTACTCAATATATTAAACGTAGTTAGTCTTCATGGACAAAAGAAGAAGTTGACACATCAACAAAATAAACATAAACAAACATCTTCAATTATTGAATATCCTCATCTTATGTATCTCAGTCTTAATCGTGTATATGTTGACTATATCAAACAATTTCTTTTTGAATCAAATGCATATCTACCATATCTGAACAAATTATCCGTTCAATATCAAGATTTAATCAATGCGATAGAGAATTTTACAAATAATGCTGAGAAAGTCAATTGTGAAAAATTGAAATACATTATTCTTTTTTCAAAACCATCAATGTATCCAG